GAGCATACCCCGAACACACCTGCTTCTTTCGGCAGGAGGATCCGCATCGCGACATTGGTAGCTCGTTGGTTGCTTTTGGCAGTCCCCCCAACCGCTGCCTGCTGACCTTCTCTTTCCAGTCAGAACGCAGAAGAATAATCATGTTTTTGACTCGCCAAGTGGCGGGGGAGACACTGCGACGCCCGAGAGGCAGCTTGGGAAGGGGGGAGAAGACGAGATGCCAAGATGTAGTTGGAATAAGATAAAAAGAGGCGTTCTTCTCCCCGGGTTCTGGTGCTTGTAGTCAGTAGGCTCTACACCTCTCTCCGCTCTTTGACACGCCAAGCGATCGTCGTGGTTCAACCGCCAAGTCAACCCCCTGCTCTAGTCAATCCTCAGCACGTTCTTTTGAACCATTCAGAATGAAGGCCACCACCTTGGCAACCTTTGCCTTGTCGGCGCTCCTCCAGGGAGCCTCCGCCAAGGAGATCCCGCCCAGTGAGCTCGTCTCTGAGATCTACGACAGCGGTTCCGTCCACATGGACCTCATGGCCCGTAAGAAGGTAAGCGATTGACAACTTGTTCAAGTCAAGACAACGCGTCTGCTGACACGCAGTCAATTAGGAATCATGGGACCGCCAGAGAGCCGCCGGAGAGATGGAGTCCACTGCTTACCGCAGCCGTCTCGCCGAGGAGGGCCCCGTCTCCTGCGTGAACGGTGTTGCTGAGGTCGTTCCTGGCGATGCCATGAACACCTTCAAGTGCAGCAACATCGACTTCTACGACTTCAAGAGCCACTCCGACCTTGGCTCCACCACCGGCGAGGGTTCTTCCTCCTGGGGCTGGACCAGCCCTGACGGTCGCGAGTTCGCCGTCATCGCCCAGGCTGACGGTGCCGCCTTCGCTGAGGTCACCAAGGAGGGCAAGCTCGTCTACCTCGGACGTCTGCCTCAGTACTCTACCACGTCCATCTGGCGTGAGCTTCGTGGTTACAAGAACTACATCGTCATTGGCAGTGAAGCTGCCCGTCACGGTGTCCAGATCTTTGATCTGACCAAGGTCAGTTATGCACAGTCTTTTCGGCTTTCATTAGTTGGGTTTACTAACATTGCACCAGCTCTTGGACCTTGACCCCGCCAACCCCAAGACCTTCGACCCTAAGGCCGACTTGACCTCTTGGTGGAACGGTCTCCCCAACGGCTCTACTCACAACATCGTCATCAACGAGGAGAAGGAGTACGCCGTCGCCGTCGGTGCTCAGCCTCGCTCCAGCACTTGCCGCTCTGGTCTGATCTTCATTGACCTCAGCGACCCCGAGAACCCGACCTCTCCCGGTTGCGCCGGTGGTGACGGTTACGTCCACGACGCTCAGTGCCTCGTCTACCGCGGCCCTGATGAGAAGTACTTCGGCCGTGACATCTGCTACGGCTACAACGAGGACACTCTGACCATGTGAGTCTACATGAGTGATGTTCGAAGGTTCTCAAGCTAACAATCCCATCAGCTACGATGTCACTGAGAAGAACACCACCAACATCATCTCTCGCACCTCCTACGAGGGTGCCAGCTGTACGTAACTAGCCTTCCTGCAAGTGATTATAGTCGTTAATGGAATTGAAACAGACACTCACCAGGGTTGGGTTACCAACACCGAGTGGCAAGAGTACCTCGTCCTCGACGACGAGTACGACGAGTACGATGCCACTGGCCCCGCTGCCTCTGGATACCCCATCACCTACTTCTGGGACATCCGCTCCCTCGAGGCCCCTAAGCAGACTGGTGTCTACAAGAGCGCCGCCTACGGTATCGACCACAACCAGTTCGTCATTGACGGTTTCGCCTACCAGAGCCACTACGGCGCCGGCCTCCGCGTTATCGACGTCTCTTCCCTGCCCGAGGACCCCACCGGCGGTAAGGTCACCGAGGTCGGCTTCTTCGACATCTACCCCGAGAACGACGCCGAGCCCAACGGAGGATCCATCGACTTCGTCGGCACCTGGAGCCACTACCCCTACTTCAAGAGCGGCTACATCCTGGTCAACACCATTGAGCGTGGTGCTTTCCTCGTCAAGCGCACTGCCTAAATCGCTGCTTGAGGCAACTAAATCCGCAACCCTCCGGGGGCGTGGGCTTGCATTGCTCCTTCGAGTTGCAGGTTAACACTCGGCATGCCGAGATGCTCTTTTACATCTTCATGTTAATAGTAATCACAACTGTTGATAAATACCAATACCAATTTTTGATGCCATTTTCGGAAGACAAGTGATGAAAAGTGTGGCTTCATAAGCGCGCATCAAGGTTAGCCTGACATCCGTCTCGAAGACAAAGAATTTCTGCCCACGTCGGCCACGCGTCTGAATCCTTGCTGAGTCGAAGTTTCCCTGAAAGACTGGCGAACAGACTGCGTCGAGACGACGCTTTGACTTCGCCAATTTGCCTAACGTTGAAAAGAGTAACCAACCACCGAACTAATAGTACCGAGCAGAGGACGAGACAGGCCTGCACAGACCTCAGACTGAATAGTTGTAAACGCGGCAAACATTTGGAGGCGACAAAGCTCCAGTGATCTACAAATTGCAACCGCTTATTTTGTGGAATATTTCCAGGGGTCGGAAGGCCGGTCTTCAGTCCGCGGTTTAGTTGTTCTAGAAGCTGGCAAATCGCGGATAGGCTTTCGGCCTCCGAACGTTGCTGAAGGGGGCACTAGAGGAATAAAGTTGAGGCTACGAAACAATTGCGAGTCATCAAAAGGACGTCCGATCTTCTACCTTACTTGATGGGGATTAAACTCAGTATAGCCAGCGTACAATCGTTCCCCCGCATTCCCGTGTCTCCGCGTGTCCGTGGCTGCTGTGTACCGGGCAGCGACTCTTCCGCTGAGCGCCCAAGCATTGATGAAAATGTCGACGTAACCCACGGAATCATAATGCTGAAAATTTGGGAAAGCCCCGGAACGCACTTACGATTCAATTGATTGAGAGCTAAAGACGTATGATTACCGCCTGAGTCGGGGCGTCGAGGCGACGCGACAGCAGCAGCAGCAGCCATGGGGACGGAACAGCTGGACAGCATGCTGCGGCGCGATGCAAGGTTTCTGAGAGAGATTTGGTCATGGTTCACGGTCGGAGCCGTCGTCATATTCCTCCGTTTCTTCGTTCGGATCCGGATGGTTGGACCCAAAGGCCTCAAGGGCGACGACTATGTCATGTTCGTGGTGAGTATCTCAATTGAGTCATCGAGGGGTCGACTTTCTGACACAAGAGACTGCGCAGACATTAATCATGTACACTATCTGTTTCGTGATGGTGGATCTCGTTTGTAAGTTACCGTAATGTGTTCTAAATGGCAAGAACACAGACTCAAGACAGACCGGGAAGGAGTCATACTGACAGGAAGGTACAGACCGCTACGGCACCAACGTGGACCTCACCGCAGATCAGATTAAACTCCTCAATGATGAGGAAGTTTCTCGATTGGTTGAGGGTTCCAAGTTCCAGCAAGTTGCTTGGTACTCGTATACGGCATACCTATGGTCCATGAAAGGCACATTGCTCTTCTTTTAGTAAGATGATAGGCTTGGTTTGCAATGGCCGTTCTGCTAACAACTTCAATAGCAGACGGATGACTTTTGACCTGTGGCAACACGCAAGGGTATTGACATACCTGACTTGGTTCACAGTAGCCGCGTACCTAGCAGTTGTTGGCACTATAACCTTCAGTTGCCTACCGTAAGTATGACCCGTCTGGCGATGTGAAAGCTTTGGTACTAATTGCCTAATTGCAACGGTAGCTTCCAGGATAATTGGGGAGTGCGACCCCTTCCGAGTGAGAAGTGCGTCTTCAAGGCACAAAATCTACTGGTCACGACATTCTTCAGTCAGTCTTGCCCTACCCCAGACACGGCTCTAGCTGTCCCATTGTTGACTGTCTCGTAGATGTCATCACAGACGCGGCCATTCTGTGTCTGCCACTGCCAGTCTTGCGAGAAATCAGAGTTCCGCTATACAAGAAGCTGTTCATCGCTGTTCTCATCTGCTCAGGACTATTCGTCATAGCCGCGGCGATTATGAAATTGGCAGTGACCTTAGGTTCAGACCCCTCGACGATTACGGTCAACCGATGGGGCGTACGGGAATGCGAAATCGGGCTCATGGCCATCAATGCCCCGATTCTCCGCCCAATATTCTCACGCCGGTTTTGGCAATGGCATTACCGTCCACCAGCACGCGATCCGAACCCTATGGTCAGTGCGAGAAGAAGCAGAACCACGATCGGGCACAGGAGGAGGGCGTTCAAAGAAGATAGCTTGCTTGGGTGGATGAGCTCGACGCGGTCGCGCATCGAGACTGCCGTTGGAACGCGCAGGCATGGAAGCCCAGTGGACGAAGAGTTGGGAAAGGCTGCTGATGAGCAGGAACTTGAGCCTTTGGACAATACCAACGAGGCTACTGGCGATAACCAGGGAAGCTACAAGGATGTAGCGGAAGCCAGCGTGGAAGCTACGGACTCAGCGAAACATGATTGAAATCGAGATACCCGGAACGCATTTGAGATAGGTAGAGTTTGCAATCATAGATTTGAGCCACTTTGATGAAAAGAATTCCCATCTTACACTTTAGGATCATTGGTCAGATTTGAACCACACAATGTTCATGTGAAGGTGCAACGAATACGCATCTGACTTCATGCGATATCAATCGGGTGGAAGGATTAATCATACAAGCACAAGCGTGGCCACTGACTCTATTTCCAGTCCAGTCATATTTCTACAGAGTTCGCAAACCCAAGGTTGCCACCCATCTATCCATTTGTCATTCAGCGGGTGCCAACATGCCTAGCCAGAGGATACCATCTCAGTCAACCTACGGAAAATTTACCATGTGCCTCATCAAGCTCTACAGGCCAACATCAACAGGATCTAAGCACCAATCTCTACTCCAGTCCATAGCTCAAAGACGCTTCAGTCGGTCATCTAATCAATCAAGCAAGTAATAAGGACCCACACTGCCCATGTAGTTTACTCAAATCTCGTCGGCATCTTGCGATCCAGCGCCAAATCTCTTTCTCAGCGACAGGAACTCTCCGCAACGGTATACCTCAGGTAGTATATCTTCAGGAAGGCACCATTTGTCACGATTGCAAGGAACAGCAAACGAGCTTGTATCTTCGTCCTCGGTTTCCGAAGATTCGGCAGTCTGCTGGGAATGACGGAGAGGCCAGAGTAGAATCTGGCTGGGATAGGCCTGGCGACGGCTGAGCTGTTCATCGAGGTCAGTGGCTCCTACATCAAGCTCATCAACCTTGGATTCGACGAGGAATCCATCGTCATCATAAGTAGCTTCATCGAGGGGCTGTGCAATTTGATGGATCAGGGCATCAATGTTGATAGATCGTCGGGGACAAGGGGAATCATGGAATGCAGTGGCAATGAAGGAGCTTCTGTCGTCATCGGGCGAGATCCCTTGGATGGAAGTGGCCGAGGCCGCCTCTTTGTCCCAGGTCAATGTTACACTGCAATCGAGCAGGAGATTGCGATTCGGCCGGATGGGCGCGTTTTGGATCGGATCGAGAAGGAAGTCAATTGAGTCATCCTCATCAGGTTCATCCTCCTCCGGGATGACAGGAAGGGGTGTGGTAGTGCCAGTGATTGTCTTGTCGAGGTCCAAACACGTGGTTCGCTCCTCTGGGTCGATGTAGATGACGGGATCAGGGCTCGAAAACAGACTGTCTTTTTTCGAGGCCATTTTTTTCCTGGCAGACTGGAGCAAAGAGAATTCTCCGAATAAAGAGGTGTTATCCTGTGCCTCAAGAGACCAATCAGCCCATCGCGCATTGACCTGGCTTCTTGCGAACTCTGTGCTTGCGTTTGGCCGGGACTGCCAGTTCTCCTTGTCAGACATTGCATTTCGATCTCGGCGGCCTTTTCCATTTCCTGAAATGGGCTGGAGAATGTTGTTCTTGAAAGACGGGGCTACAGGTTTCGCCGAATTGCTTCGCAAGGGGATTCTGCTGGCTCTAGAGGCCACGGGCTTCCGCTTGATTTTGTTGATCTGCAACGGTCCGGGCATGGCCAAGGTGGTGTTGGGAGACGAGTCAGTCGTTGTGTCCTTCTGGGCATCCAGGGGTGCTGGCTTTGCTGAGGAGCAAATTGTCCCTTTCTTTGACACACAAAGAGGCTCAGGCTTTGCGGAGGGGTCGGCGTAGACATCTTCTTCCGAGTCGGACATGTCAGGATGTTGCTTGCGAAAGGAGACAAGTTCGGGGATCTCCAGCAGAGCGTCGATCTCCTGAACGAGACCATTGACCATGTCAGATACCTTTGTCCCACGTTCATTGAATACTGGAAGATGTTCGCAAGCGCCTTCAAACTGCCTGTCAATGGGGCTTTTGTGGAATCGCGATGGAATCATCAAGCTGTCTTCGTCACCGGTTGAGGTCTCGAGGCGGATATAAGGTCGAGGGTAAGGAGACCCGCTCCCAATGGAACTCGCACCAATCTCGGAATCGGAACCTGCTTTGCAACTGTTAACGCTTCTCGAATGGCCAGGTGATGAGAATGGTCCTATCCTTACCTGGACTTTTTGTGCAGTTTCGCGCGAGTTCAAGGCTCATGGCCGAGGAAGTGTCGCCAGTCTCTGACGGCTCCGACGAGTTCTAGTCGCCGTACATGTCGATAATCTGGTCCAACATATCTTCTACTGGATCGCCAAAAGGCCTTGAGGCCCTTGCCTTGAGGTCACACTCTCCCTCGCAGGGTTTCTGGGGTTGGCGTCCTGGGTGGATGATGGCTTCCAGAGCCATCTCGACGCGGCAGGTCAATCGTGCCATCGTGAAAGGAGAGTAGACCCAGGGTCGACGTAGTGGGCCAAGGTCGATACTCGGAGAAGCGGATACTCCCAGTGTTGGCACGAAAGCAGTAATCACAGCTCGTTGAGTGCTACGGAAAAGGTCGATGATGTCTACCTTGCCCATAGCTTTGACAGATGTGCCCCTGCGGGCTTGTGAGACCGTGAGAGTTCTTCTGTGGAATTATAGTTCCAGAGACGCGTCGACGCGTGGGTTCTCTGGGACTATGTCAGTACGGCTACGCGTTCGCGTGAGGTTGTTGACAAGATGATGGTAACCCCAGAATCGACGCTCATGGGCAGCGAAGTAAACAACTTACTAATTGGGCGGGCTTTGCGCGTTTCTTTACGGCTGACACGTACGTGACGTATCGTCAAAAGATAATTCAGATTCTTTGCGAGTCTCAGGAAGGATCTGATTGCAATCTCTGAGCGGTGCCGGGTTAATGGTTGTGCAACATCGACTTTTGTGCAACTGTTAAAGTGACAGCTGCGGAGAAGAAGGAGGAAGACAAAAGGCGCGCGGTTTGTCGCGTCTGGGTGGGTTTGGCAATTGCTTCTGTGTCCTGGACGAGAGTGGTGAGTGTTGACAGAAGAATCGCGATGTGGAGGAGAGAAGAGAGAGATGAAAAGCGAGGAGGGGGTGGGAGGGGGAGATGTAAGTGACGGGCGTGTGTGGGTGGGGCCGGCAGAGTTGTTGCCCTGGGCATGAGGCAGCACTCAACCTGACCTTCGGCCACGGCAGAAGATACTGATCTCCATGGAAACGACCGTAAACATTGATACAGCGTATAATCGACGCACGAGAAGACTCTTAGGGTGTCCACGGAAGGTAGACTGGCGCGAAATTTGAGGCCGAAGGGCGCAAGCTGGAGCTCGACGTTATTGTGCCCCTTTCATGGTAGCGAGATTTACTATTCGACGTAGATCTGATCTCTTTTTCGAGGACAGTCCCATATCAAGAGCTAATTGCGTTTAAACGTCACATTACGATGTCAGGTCTTGTTCTCGTACCTAGGAAAGGACCATCAGCGTGGCATATGAGCTGAAGTCTCGACTGCTTTCAAATATTACCGGGGTCGAAGTACAAAGATCTGTCAGGCGGAAGCAGAGCGACATATTGATCCGGGTACGGCCGACTCTTTCTTAGTATATTCCTTACTTATAAAAGGACCATCGAAATCACGTCTGATAGGAAGTCGATATATGGATGGATCTATAACTGGGACTGACGATAAAGAACGGCAGAGACGCCGACAAGGGTCACAAGGAAGGCATTACATATCAAAGATATGCAATGGGCTTGGCTTTGGGAACTTGTCACCAATAACACTGTTCTTCACGGAATTTGCTGAATGTTGGTGACGAACTCCTGTTTGATTCAATGATAAAGCTCGGACTACACAGACAACCTAAACGTTCAGCGCCTATTCCAAGCTGACGATCCCTTACTTCTAGGTGACACGCGCAGTCACAAAAGAAATCCTTGCCTCTTCTACATTCTTGCCCCAGTAAAATTCAAACCCCAATATCAGTTACAGAACAACGTCAGATGCCCACTCTCATACCTAATCCAACAATAGAACTAGAATGCCACGATTTCTATATCCGTCACCCCGACATCGATAATCTAAGTACTGTCCTAATGGACATCTTTGCATCATGAAGGACTAGCGGGCCATCGGATCCATGAGAGCGTCTGCAGGACCTTGAATAGCTCAAAATATCCTGGCGGCGAAGACGGGCTCTCTGTGAGCGAGTGGACGAGGCGAGGGACGGTCTGGGGCTTTGATTGTTCTTAGAAAGCGCCGCAGTGTCTTTCGACTCGGTCATGTGAATCCACTCGGCAACGTCAAGCGAAGTAGTTGTGTAGGGTCTCGGGTGAGCCGGAGAATCATCGGATGGTTCAAAGAACAAGACTTGGGCGTCTCGGACGTCTTGTCTACCATGACTCATCTCGTCGCTGTGACTGTCCTCACCGTCGTCCTCCTCCTCGCCGCCTTTTCTGCAATCCTCAGCGCTTTCGTTACGATCCATATCTGCGTGGAATTGTTGGATATGGGGCTGGCTGACATAGTCGTTGTAGTTCATGACGCTCTCGTGCGTTTCCTCGCAACGCGTAAGGTCTTCGCCGTCTAGTTCGGCGTAATTGAGGCCAGAGATCTGGTCATCATCTTCGCGGAAGCGTTCCAGCATTGCTATTGAGGCCTCCTGGGTGACTCCTCTTTGCCAGCGAGTCACCGAAACAGGATCGAAGTCTGACTCCTAGTCATCGTCGTACTCCTGTCGATCGGTTTGGATGATCTCGCAAACCTCATGATTAGCTGCCAGCGTCACATTGATACTCTGCCTGTGAGTGTCGTCAAATTTGTGTGCGCGTTGTGACATAGCCGATTGTGCGATGGTGCATGTCGTGAGCTGCAGTAAGAGTGACTGGACAGTCACTTTAGAGAAGCCGGTCTTCGCAACACTAAGCCCAAGGCTAGAGGCGGATCCTGCCGCGCGATCAGTCTTTCGATCTGGAAGAAGCACCTTCACGATTTGACCAGTTTGGCCCGAGACAGCGTCTTTGATGAAAGGCCAAAGCCCATCGTCCTTGATCGCCTCCAGCGGTGATTTGTAGCGATCCATCACTATTCATAAAGTACGTTAGCAACGGCAGGGAACACGCGACTCGTCAGAGCGTGCGGGAGTGCGGTAATTGAAGTCATCGCAACTGTATCAGAACATACCTTTAGAAGTGGGCGTCGTCATGCTAGAACAAAGTCGCCAGGTTTTTGAAATTTCTGGTAGTGTAATTACACTGCGCGACAAGCCTCTCGGGAGATTTGAGGGGGGTCTCTAGCGAGCAGTAGAAGATGTATGAGAGTGGAAAGAATTTGGGCCCGGGGGCAGAGAAGGTATAGCTTATGGACGTTGGCCTGACGAGGCAGCTCTGGTTGCTATGGACATCGCGAGGTGAGGCACCCACGAGGCACCCATAGCGACCACCACCACCAGAGCAACAACGAAGCCGATGAGTGAGCTATTCCACATTGCAAGTATTTCAAAACGCCTAGAACTACTTGTGAGATCGTCTTAGTATCTTTAAAAGAGAGACATGGACCGCAGTGACGAGGGAGACATCAAGGTCAGCATAGTCACGCAAGTGATTGCCTACCTTAACAGCTTCCCCCGAAGGGCCAAACTGTATTGAATTGGCCAGGGAGGCATGAGAGGAATAGAATAAGACCGCCTATTTTTCCTGTGCTATGTTGACTACTTTTCCTGTAGCTATTCTACTTTATCGTCGTATTTCAATCGTAGTCGCTTCTATAGTTATTATCGCTTCTATTATCGCTATCGTTTATACCGTCGTCGTCGTCGTCGTCGTCGTTATCGTCGTTATCGTCCTCGCTATGACTATTATCTCGGACAGGTATAATCAAATATATACGAAATACAGCCGCGCAGACACAGGCAAAATAGGCGGTCTCAAAAAAATAAAAAGGCATACCGGCCGCTCACAGAAGAAGAAAGTCACCAGAATGTTTAAGTTATTGAACACGGTTGGGCACTCTTGATGCCACATATGAATTGACTTGACTGGTTTAAAGTAATAACTGCGATGAACGTGTTCCGTCAGCTGAGTGAATTGCTCGATCAGGACTCCTCCATTTTGTCATCCACAATCACTGTTATTCTTGGTCATGCTTTTCACCGCGCTCACTTTTCCCACACAACTGGACTCAAGCCCCTTCTCTGTAGTCTGCTCATCATCTCACGCTGCCAAGGGCGCGCCATTCTGCCACAAACTCCAAGTACTAGCCTAGCACGTCCGAAATACAAACTCCAAAGCAAAGACGACAACGACAGAGCCAAAAACCAAGCAAATCATCACATCCATCTCCATACCTCTTTCTACTCCAAGCACCAATCTTTCTTCATCCTACGTCAAGCATGCAGACATCCGTGGCTACAACAAGCTGGAAAGCATCGCTACCGATTGCAGACACCAAGTGGACCAATCATCATGCAGAGTACAACGACAACCCTTTTGGACCACTCAAGATGAGTGGGAGCACGCAAGTCTGGTATGGGTCCAGACTGAGCTCAAGGGGCTTACGGTAGCCTACAATACATACCAAGCGCAGGAATCTCACACAGTCAACGGGAGTGGTTCACACGGCCCAATCGTAGGTCTCTCCATCATCTGTATTGGTATCTATCTTCCCGGCAGTGGAGGCTTCGTAGACGCCAAGGAGCGCGGCTCCGCTGGTAATGGTCTGGATGAAGCGCATGAAGCTGCTTCCGAGGGTGGCAAAACACCATTTTTTCGTCTCCGCAGGGGCCTTCGCGCTGTCACTGGCGCGGATCATCTTGTACTGTCCCGTCTCGTAGTTTCCGAAGAGCAGGTTGCGCGCAGACTTGGGAGAGGTCGTGAAGTTCTCGCCCTCGGGCTTGGGAAGATCTTCGTAGATCTCCTGGATGACGCTCTGCTTGGAGTACGTCTCGTAGCCAATGACGTTCTTGTGGCCGGTCAGAGCCCAGTCTTTGAGGTCGAGAACAGCGGTGTTGAAGCCCTCGTCGGCCTGGATTTCCTCGACGTCCTTGTATCGCGCGAGCTTTCCTTCGGTCTCAAGGAGGCCATCGAGCCTTGTGCCCCGGCGACCAGCTGATCTGAAGGTGGGGAAGGCGACAAGAGCTGAGTCGGTGTCTGTGTGAATGGTGCTGATGGATGAGACCTGGGACACGGAGATGGACCTGACACGCTGTTTGTTGTCGGCTTGGATGGAATTGCCGTCGATCTGGTATTGATCAGAAAGGCCAGTGACGCCCTTCTTCCTCTTCAGGGTGCGGGTGCTGCTTTTTCCAGCTGAAGACGAGGTGCCGGCGCTCGAGCCAGACGCGCTGCGGCTGTGAATCTGCGTCTTCTTGTCGGTGGCGATGTCGATGGACTGATAGCTGACGCCCTTTGATGCGAGCGGGAAAGCTCTAGTTGTTGTGGGTGAGCCCGCGACGCGTGAGGACTAGTCAGCGTCTTGGGTATCAGCCGCAATGATGGGAAAGGTGGCCGAGTTGGCACCGCCGGGTCGTTGTCCGTCTGTGCCTGGAGTGGTAGCCAGGTGTTGGGCGCTCTGACTCTCTTCGGTGAATGCAATGATGTGCTTGCGCGTCTTGTTCGCGTCGTGAGAGTCAGGCATGGTGACACAAGCCAAAGGCTGAGAGTGCGAAGTGGCCTTCACAGTCACCCAGGGCTGCTTGTAGGGCTTCCGAAGGGCAGAGCGAGTGGTGCTGTGCTTGGCAGCGACGTCGCCGTCGACTGCGGTCTTGTTGTTTTTGGCGGTGTGAGCCTGAAGGCCGAAGACGCGAACGAACAAGCCCATTGTGGGAGCTATTTCGAAGTCAGTATCTTTCACCATTGCGAGATTGTAGAGGGGTCGCGCTGAGGAGCGAGGAGGCGATCATCGAGGAAAGGGGCGGGCATGAACGTACTAGAGTTTTTTGTTTCGTGGAGATCTATGTAAGTAATCCTTCTGACCTGTAGAACGTCTTGATAATCGGTGACGTCTGCGAAAGAGCAACTCGTCAAGGGCAATTGAGGGAAATTGAGGGCGCAAGATAGAATAAGTCGCCGTGTATGCTCAACTTCTCAGCCTGCAGGGTAGAAAGGAGTTATCTTTTTAATTGATAGTAAGACGATCAAGATCTGAGTGCTTGCGAGGCAATTGGGTTACCAGTCGCGTTGATATTGTTGGTTGACGAGTTGTGCGTGATGTTGTTGTGGGAGGGAAGGAAGAAGTGAAGCTGGAGAGAGAGTCGGGGCAGAAGAAGTGGACGACCCTCGACGAAGAGTGATTGTGTCGAGGACCCACTGCATTGATTAAAAAGAATTTCCTATTTGGGATAGTCGCGAGGCATCAAGAGCGTTGTTTGATGGGTGCCTTGGGAACAAGGAGAAGATCACGACGCGTTGCCCAGCTACCAGGCCCGAGCCTCAGGCGCGCCTCGAAGGGATGGAACCAGTCAGGCATCAACCATCGCCAACGCAATAAGGCCATGGACAACTATTAGACCTGATATTCCACGCCGATTTACATCTTGCTGTGATAGATGGAAGGATTCGGTTGCTTTTTCTTGGCTTCGGCCACGAACTACCTGTCAGCTTTATTGTCATAAATGCCACGGGCTTATTCAATCATGATCTTGAAGGCTATTTACGTTTTCAAACTATCTCTTCCTCTCCGTCAATGAAACGTGAACCTTGCTCGAATTCTTGAAGGCGACGGAGCTCTCCTCGACTGATTGAATCAGCCCAATCCCGAAATGCGGAAATGTGGAAGAGGTGCCGGCAGCGGGAAGCCGCCTCCAAAAAGTCACGCTTGAAGCCGGAACTTTCCTCTTCCACACTCCATCCAGGGCGTAACTTCTCCATACGCGCCGTGTAGAGCTTCCTCAGTTTGGTCTGCTCGAATTGCATCAAGTGTTCCCAATACAGAATAGTCTTCCCTTCACTATCTAGGCCATCGTCTTTCCAGTCGTCTCCATTGTCGTTACCGTAAATTTCGCGGACTGGTTCTCGGTTTCTCACCTTGCCATCCAAGAATGACGGCATTTGCGTGAGGAACCAAGAGGGCATAGTGGAAACGGAGTTCCAGTTTACCAGACCGGTAATGTTTCCATCGTCGTCTATCAAGATATCTTCCAAGTCTGTTATGGGACTCCAGGGAACAGTCTGTTGAGAAGATTATGGATCGGAGAATACTATCGGAAGCACAGTCAAAAGCTTTCGTTCGACCTCCGCGATAGCTTCCGGTTCATCCTTGTCTGATTCGGTCTCCGCATTTTCTGCTTCTGCGGTTTTCTCCAGAATGATAATGTTTAGGAGCGACTTGAGCCATTCTTGGCTGGACTCAAATGGCCCTCGAGGTATATCGTAGTTATAGTTATTACCGCAGAAAAACACGTAATCAACCACCCTGCCTGGTGTGAAATGAAGCTCTGAGGGTGGCTGGTCATTTTCTTTGAGCTCGTCGAAATAAAGAGTCCCTACGGTTCGAAACTCTTTCAGCCTGATGCCGGCGTCAAGAATTTGTGCGTGATAATCGGCCATCTTCTCAGCAATAGCTTCCTTCTTCGCCATCGGCATCTTTCGCCAACGTTTGTGGGCTCGTATGCCGGGCATAAACTCCATGAGCATCCACTCGAAGCCGATCTCGTTGTCACTGGGGTTGTCAAATACAAAGACTTCAGGGACTGGAATGCTGGTTCTTTATTTGATCCACCTCATGGTCGCCACCTCACCGCGAGTCTGGTAGCCAGGATCAAGTGGAAGAAAGACGCGCATGATGGCCTTTCTGCCGTTGCCTTGAACGAGATATGTCTTTTTACCACCCCATTTTCCGTAAGGTGAAACATCGCATCTTGAGTTCTCGTCAAAGTTCAAATGTCGACGGCAGACCTTCTCAATGGCTTCCAGTGAAGGTTCTCGTGCCCACTCAGGGCTCGGACCCCAGATGGCGTCGTGCTCCCATACTAGCCCGTCTCGGTTCGGTCTGGACATCTAGCAGACTCAGTAGGTAGTGGTGAGATAAGACCCCACCCTAACTTCCGAAACACCCCCACTTCCGAAATAGCACTTTTGATGTATTTTAACCCTCGCTACGATAATTATATTTTTATATATCGCTAAATATCTTAATTAATCCGTAATAAAAATATATAATTTTATACTCTCTTTATTATTTAATAATTCGTTTTTAGATAATATTAATTTTACTTAATTTAAATTATTCTATACTTCCTATTTCTTCTTAATTATTTACTTAATTACTATAAAGTATTTATTTATATTTAGCTTAACTTTAACTTATTTTTTTAGCTATAATATTTTAATTTAAACTTTTAGAGATTTAATTATCTACTAATTATTAGTACTAAATATATTATTAAGGTTTAGATATTTACTTAGTTTCTAAATAAATAGTATATATACTACTAAATTAATAGCTTTTAGTTTTAACTATAAACTATTATAAAATAGCTATTTAAATTATAGTAAATTAATAGAAAACTTAAGTATTTTAATTATAATATTTTCTAAAGTTATAATAACGTTCTAATTATTTATAGCTACTTCTTTCTATAATAATACTCTTAGAATATCTATAAGAGCTAAAGTGAAGATAAACTTACTTATTAATAGCTTAGTAATATTAATAAATTATAGTTTTATTACTATTTATTCTATTTTAATAATATATAATTATAAAACTTTAGATCTTATATATAAATAGTATTAGAAGAAGTTCTACTTACTAATTAGTACTAAATTTAGTTAGAAATTCTAATTTACTAATTAATACTTATATAACACCTTTAGAAATAAAAAAACTAATATATTAAGTAGCTAAATAATATATAATAAGTATATAAGTAGATATATTAAGTAAATATTATATATATAGTATTACTATATAAAATTATTAGAAATATAGCTACTATAGCTATTAATAACTAATAGATATTTAAATTATAGTTTTTTTATTTTTATAGTAGTTTCTAGTATAAATATTTTATTTAATTACTTAAGATTAATAGTATTTAATATCTAGCTATTTACTAATAATATAAACTACTACTTCTTAAACTCCTATAAATTATTAGAGAATTACTACTATTAAATAGTCTTACTTTTAAAAATAATAAGGGGAGGTAAGTATATATTAGTAATAGAGATATACTTAATAATTATTATCTAAGTATAGTTTTTATTACTCTAAATAAATACTAAAAGTTTTTTAATATATTTTATTACTAAATAATCCTTTTATAAATCCTTAATAATACCTATTTTATCTATATTTTATCTAAGATTTATTAAGATTATCTTAACTACTAGAAGTTAGAAGATCTTAAAGAATAACTTAATACTATTAATTATAATATATTTTATATATTTAATATTTATTTTTTAAGTTCTTATTATTTTATAAAATAAGTTATAATATAAGAAGCCCTCTATTTATTTCTTATTAAGGGATTAAATATTACTATTAATATAGAGGATCTAAGTTATAAAGATTTAGATATATTAGTAGTTTAGAGTAAAACTTAATAATACTTATATAAGAACTTATATAATAAGAGAAACTTCTTATTATACTAAAATATATTACTAGCTTATATAAACTTCTTTTTTAAGCTTTTTACTATTAATTTTATAATAGATAGTAGGATATAATATACTTTACTTTTTTAAGGTTTATTAATAGGATTTACTACTATATATAGCTATAATAGCTATAGAGATATAACTCTTATTATATATAGCTATCTAGAGTATAGTAGTATTTTTAAAAATATTAATATTAATTATAGTAGTTAAGAAAGAAGAAGATAAAGTTAAGGATATATAGGTAGTAATATACGAAAACATAGTTTTTAACGCGTTTCGGAAGTAGGGGTATTTCGGAAGTTAGGGTGGGGTCTTAAACAACGACAATGAGGCTTTCAGGCGGTGCTGACGTGATTTCTGGTCGTAGGTAGCAATCGTGATGGGTGAAGTCGTCCGGAGGACAATGTTTCCCAGCCAGGAAAAAGAGTCTGCGCGCGATCTACACTTATAGTCTCGCTCAGGATTTATCTTGGAAATTCAAACATATCACCTCAAGGTTGTGGGGCCTTGATGACTGGACAAACGTTTTGTGTGCGGAGGAGAAAAGGTGAGCAATTGTTATACCCAACCGGCAAAGCTTCGGCACTCTTCCTGGCGTTCCACCATTTCTGGGGCGCAGTAAGCAGCCTGGGACTTTTCCATTGACCATGATGAGATTATTACCCAAGTAACCACTCGGATGAGCAAGGATTTTAAAAAGATGCGCGCAGCAACGCCCACAGCAGGAGAGAAATTATTCAAAGCTGACATCAAGAAAACTGGAGTAGAAAACCTCCGGCTAAATTTGTTTCTGCGGCCAGTATATTCGTCATCTTTTACGTTACTTGATTCGCGTAATTGATCTAATGTTAATCGTCGTAGTCCTAGAGGTTTAGTTCATCCATGGATCTATCAAGCGACCCCCTTTCATTTAGTACAATAGGAAAATTATTGATCAGGGCTCTTGTGTACGTCAATTCGAAGCCCATATCTCCACAATGAGTCTCTACCTGTATGGACGCTTTCTAGTTCTAGAGCTTAGTTTTACTATCTGGACGACAAGGACGACAAGGACGACAGGGACGATAGGGATGATGAGGATAATGGAATTATTAATATTAAAAACTATTAGAGCTCATATAATACTTATCCGCCCGGATAGCAAGACTATTTCAAATAACAATGCAGCCGAAATAACCAGGAGATCAGCAATGATAGCGACAATGAGTGGATGCTCGATTCCTCTCGGACAGTAGGAAAAGATCGTCTAAGTTGTTTGCCTGTGTTTGGGCGGCTACATTCTCTACTTGCTTGGCGGCTTCGATGAGGACGTTGGAACAGATACAACGATAGAAGAGATGATGATGGTAACGATAACGACGACATGCGACGACATGCGACGACATGCGACGAGGGAAACGATCAGAGGTGACGATGGCGACGACGAGACCGAGTGTACGCGCTAGAAATAGAGGGATAATCCCAGGATTGGGGCAAACTACTATTTAATACGTTTGAACCACCCGATGACCCGACGCATAGTTTCGTAACCCTTCATTGACTGTCAACGGACGCTGTTAGTTACCGCTGGTCGTCGTATAAGTCCCGTGTGAAGCGCCCTTGGCACAATAAACTGCTGACCATCCTCTTGGCAACACTGCCTTGGCACTGCAACTGATCCTGCGAATAACGCCACTGCCGAAAAGCCAAGTTTTATCAGCTGCTTGGTACCTTGGCAACATCAGTCATCTTTCGGACCATTTGACAACCACCTTGTGATCCTCCCGAATCACCATAACCTCAATGCATAGATGTCGTTGAATGTGAGGCGAATTCTTGTTGAATTTTTCATCCGCCACAATCATAGGTTATATGATCAACAATTATTGTATGCCAGCACATCATGGCGTCCCAGTGACCCGGCCCAGGCTAGTCATCTGCTAGCTCGAGCCTCCACCTGTCCACCAGCACCATGGTAAACCCCGATTCATCGTACATCCATCGTGGTATTTGTTGACAACCAATCCCTGTATCGGAGTTCAGCCTCAGCGATCGCTATCTGGCCTTGAAGCGCTGCCCCGCAACTCCGCCGGAATACAACAAGATGCCGTTAAGCTTATGGTTATCATTCCGGCCGTCGATGCCTAAAGAAGGAAGCCTTGCAAGGAGTCGTCGTCATCGGCTCATGGTCAGATACTTCAAAGAAGCACATGCGCCCGCCAAAAGGTCAAGGTCACGCTCAGCTGCAGTCAACATCAATCATACTTGCCATCCGTTCTCGGGCTCGCACGTTCCGACAGAGGCGCAGCTCATCCGAGCCTTTGGGACTGTTTGTCGCAGAGCCCTGCAGGATGCACGATGCACAGTGCAACCACGTTCCGTCTCCGGGTCAACCGCCTGCCCGGTACGGAATGCAGGATCTGCTGTTTCGATCGATTTGAATTGAAAGGGTAAGACCACCGGTTTTCGGCAGTCCAAAAACGCGCCTTAAAGGGGACTCGCCTGAGCGTCTTTCGGCGCGCTACGAGCTGAGGATGCCGACGCGGTGCGTCTTGGTGTAAGGGGGATCATCCCGGTTAGCCCTCCTAGCGCCGATCTCCCGCCCCCAACAGCAGAGGGCGATGTGAGAGTGTTCTTTTTTGGTCACTTGAGATAGGGTTGCATTTCTTATCTTACGGATCCTTTGATGCTACCCATCAGCCCTAAACATCGTCCTGCAGATCTTGTGCCTTTGAAGCATTGGATCAGAATGAAGCGTTTCTTGACGTGAGACTTCGACAGCGTGTTTCCAATCGTTAGTATTCCAATTACGAAATCCGATGTTCAACTCTGCCACAACCGTATTGGGCAAAACAGCTCGGACGAGAGTGTGCGAGCACTCAAGCCGCTGTGTAGCCCGGGCTGAAGTGGATGCCAGAACAGCAGGCTTCCTGCACTTAACCGGGTTTGAAGGCCGAGGAAACATGGCATTTCACGGCATCTCCAAAAGAAGCGCTGACAGGTTTGGAATTGTGGTATGACAGTCTGCTTGAATCATTCTAGTGCCCCCGGAAGTCCGTTTCAACGTTTCAGGGCGCCGTTCATCGTAGTCGCTCTCGGGTTCTCCACATACGTAAGTCGAACGGTATGACAGCCCCATTCAAGTTGCTGCACGAATGAAAGGTGCATGTTGTTGGAGTGGATTCCCTAATTCCGACGGACCCGAATACATGACCCGACTGTGTCGGGCTTGAGTTTTCTTTGAGTCAGACGAAGGATCCTTAGTGCAGATACGTATTCTCAGCCGGCGGTTGAAGCGATTCCACAATCATGTAAGCGCACGAACAAACTCAAACCATTAGCAGACTCGTATCAAAAGCCTTCCCGCTACACCCGCTCTAGCTTCCAACGGCCGCTTGCCGTTCACCTGAACCCCCTTTGTGAGCCCCCTTTTGCATGTAAGACTGGAGACCTTTGATCCGATGACGATGATTGGCAAATTCTGTTGGCTATAGCAGGTAGCGAACGCAGGATAATTCCTGAGGCAACCGCTGCGCGTGATGTGCAGGCGGTACCTGGCAGCTCGAAGCTTTCCGACGAACACTCTACGTCTCGGAAACCTTCACAATCTTACATCCATATTTGGAAATAATGTCAAATTTTCGTAACTCATCCAATCGACCCGGCTTCCTTCGAAAGTTACCAAACATCTGGCCCCAAATCGTCTCTACTCTCAGGCACAAGACACGAGCCTGGCGCTAAGCCACGCTAGAATATCAGGGACTACGCATGTGGCTGGCACCATTATTAGCCCACGCGCCAGGCTAGCTTAGAATCATCTGTCCTGTGCAGTAGTGCAGGCGCCGATCAGGTCAAGCTTGTTGTTCTCGTTACGGACATCGTCCAAGTATGGAGGTTCCCGAGCCGGCAGCCTGGGATGTGGGGATGGGGATCGACTCTAGAAGCCGTGAAGCCGGCATTGTGCAGTCCGGTCCCATTGAGTATCCGATCTGGACTCGAGTTATGATGAACTCGAGCCTCCTTCGAACAGGTATATAGCTCAAACATGCTCACCCCGTTTCTTGGCTTTTGGATTCATCATCAGTCACTCACTCAGGCTCTTGACTTCATTCTTTCTTTGGTCTCTACTTACATTCGTTTCTTCTGATCCACATTAGTGCGCCGCCAAGATGGTCGCCATCAAAGACCTTATGAAAGGCAGCCTTAAGTGGCTATTCACAGTCCAAGCGGCTTTGCGGCAGGACAAGACAAACGGGTACGCTGCCTCACTCTTTATTGAATGACAATAAGCTTCGTCTAATGCTCTAAACAGAAAGTGCGTCCTCGGCACACCGAATGCCCCCAAGCTTCCGAACTTTTTGAACAACAACCCTTTGCCCAACGGCTTCCCGTGGGGCCCTCTGACAGCCGACGGCACGAACTACTACAAGCAGTGGCCCAACACTGGCGTCGTCCGCAACTACGACTTCACCATCAGCCGAGGTGTCATCGCCCCCGATGGATATGAGCGTCAGGTCCTCCTGGTGAACGGAGCTTACCCCGGCCCCACCATTGAGGCAAACTGGGGAGACTGGATCCAGGTCACGGTTCACAACAACATTGACAACAACCCCGAGGGTACCTCCCTGCATTGGCACGGATTCCGTCAGCAGAACACCCAGTGGGAAGACGGTGTCCCTGCCATCAGCCAGTGTCCCATTGCCCCCGGCAAGAGCTACACCTACAAGTTCCAGGCATGTATACCCACCACCCACGCGAGATTCTCCCGACTGTGAGATGCCCTAGTACTGACAGCCCACCTTAGGCTACCCTCTACGGAACCTCTTGGTACCACTCTCACTACTCTTCTCAGTATGCCGGTGGTCTTACCGGCCCCATCGTGATCTACGGCCCTGGAAAGTCTGCCTACGACATTGACGTCGGCCCCGTCTTCCTTTCTGATTGGTACCACAAGCAATACTTCGACATTATTGAGGATATCCTGACTCCTAATGCCTCCGGCTTGGTCTTCTCTGACAACAACCTCATCAACGGCAAGGGCAACTTCAACTGCTCCACTGTTGCTGCTGGAGACAAGACTAAGTGCACGAACAATGCTGGTATCTCCAAGTTCAAGTTCCAGACCGGCAAGACCCACCGTCTCCGTCTCATCAACTCCGGTGCCGAGGGTACTCAGCGTTTCTCCATCGATGGACACACCATGACCGTCATCGCCAACGATTTCGTCCCCGTCGAGGCCTACGACACCAAGGTCGTCACTCTCGGCATCGGCCAGCGCACTGATGTCCTCGTCAAGGCCAACGCCGGAAACTCCAGGAGCTCTTACTGGATCCGCAGCAACCTCACCAGCTGCAGTCTGGCCAACCAGCCTCTTGGTATCGCCGCTCTCTTCTACGACCAGGCGGACCAGAACCAGAACCCCACCAGCACTGCCTGGGACGTTCCCGACCCAGGCAACTGCGCCAACGACGATCTTGCCATCACCAAGCCAGTCATGAAGCTTACTCCCCCTACCCCTAGCTACGTCAAGACCATGGAGATCCAGGTCACTCGCAACGCTTCTGGTATTGTTCAGTGGACTCTTGACGGCGAGGACTTCCGTGGCGACTTCAACAGCCCCACCCTTCTTCAGACCAACAAAAACAACCTCACCTATGCTGCTGACTGGAACGTCAAGAACGTCGCCAACAACGGTAGCGTTCGTGTTATTGTGAGCAACAACAGCCCTGCAGCGTAAGTACCTTCTTATACTCCCTAGAATTAACTGGAAACTAATGGGTTCTTAGTCACCCTATGCATCTTCACGGCTTCAACATGTACATCCTCGCCGAGGGTGACGGCCTGACCTGGGACGGAACCATTACCAACCCCACCAACCCCCAGCGTCGTGACGTCCAGCAGGTCCGCGCCAACGGCCACATGGTCATGCAGTTCGACGCCCAGGAGAACCCTGGTGCCTGGCCCTTCCATTGCCACATCGCCTGGCACGCATCTGCTGGTCTCTTCTCTCAGTTCATCGTCCAGCCCGATAAGATCAGACAGTTCCAGATCCCATCCAAGGTTGACCAGGTTTGCAAGGACTGGAGCGCCTGGACCAGCCGCAACATCCCCGATGTCATTGACAGCGGTCAGTAAGGGGCTAATTTTTACTTCTTGTTCATATGTACCAATCTGTTTGTAATTGTCTTTTTCATTTCGTTTAGGCATTGCGAGCTGTAGATCTTGCATTTGGCGGGCCCATTGTATTTAAGTAGTGGAGAGCATACATAGCATTTTCAATAAGAGTACATACTCTCCCAAATCCCAAGTCTTTACTGACGTGACGAGATGTCCTTGGCATGATGTTTCTCTCAAGAGATCCTAGCAGCCGGGTAGTATAGTCTCAGTACGAAAACAATTAGATTCTGAGAGGTGTGATGTCTATCATACATGGTCATACAGAATTACGTTCCATCACACTTGTATTTGCGACTACCTTCTTGGGTGCCCAATCAGCCTCAAGTTGTCGCGCCCACGCCCCCCATCACACAATACAAATACATGCAAGACGCCTCCTGCTTGCATTGTTAAAAGCCGGACTACTTGAGGAGCCATTTCTGTTCGAGGCCTTTTTTAATTCGGGGCCTTATACCCGTTCAAGTCCCGCACAAGGCTCGCAAAGCTGTCTTGGAACAAGAGCATAGCGTAAACCCGGTGAAAGACAAGTGCAAATTCGGGGGCAAAGGGCTTGTTCACAGTAGGATTGCATGACAAGCTCTCGAATACCACCCGAATTTCGTCCGATCGATTCGAGTTTCGTATAACACTAAACCTATGAGCGCCTGCAAATCGGCCTTGGTCGCTGCCGTAGGCGAAGTCGATGCTGCTCCTCGTACTGGGACCGTCCCCAGCGTCCTTATCCTCGTATTGAAGCTCGATGTTGCAGACTTGAAACGCGCCAAACAACAACGAATGCAATGTAGGAAGCTTTAGGGAAGAAACTCCCGAAACTGTCCAGACTCTTCGAAGTTCGGAATTTGTTCCCACGCCTTTTTGATAATCAGCTATACTCGGAAGACAAAATCTCCTGACTCACCTTCGAAACCAGTGAAATCCCGCCCGATGGCTGCCAGCACTATCCTCTCCGGCGCAAAGACTTTACCACCGAAGAAGCCATGCGTGAAGGCCGCCAAGATCCGTTCGTCTGTTACTTTACTTGCGTTCTTCGGTAAGGTCAAGTCCACGTATCGTGAATCGGATGTCGAGACATGGTTTCTCGGGTTGACGATGTCTTTAATGGTTGAAGATTGGCAATATGCATCAGAGATGCCGTTGTCGCTATGTATTCGACGTCTGTCGACGACACGGATCTGATTGTACACTTCCCACGCGTGCTTGAGGGCGAAAATGGTTGGTACGGCGACCACAACGCCAACCATGCTCCTGGCGCTCATCACATGCGTTGAGATCATTGTTACCAACGAATTCTTCTTTGGGTTTTGGATGAATAGGCATCTAGGATTGATGTTTACAGCATTCAGCTAGGCCATTATTTTACAATTATGGGAGTCACACAGCATTCGCGAGTTCTTCCGTCACACACCCGACTCTGCCCGTGTCTTTGGTCAGCACTGGTGTCCTTTCGTTCTAGCGTCTTGTTCCTTGGCGGTCAAAGGCAGTTCATCAGGTATTTAGGCAAATACAGTACGAACGTTTTCAAGAACAGGCACATTGGCTCGACGTGCAAATCATCACATGAAAAGCTCACGATCGGGAGCATGCATGATGCCAAGTGTGGTTTCTTCCGTATCGGTTCAACGGACGGGTCGGGTCCCGGCAGGCGGCGGCTAAGTTCTTTTCCGCTCATCGGTGACTTGGCCCGGGCCCCGCCCCCACTAAAGAAACATCCGGGAGGTTACCCGCCACATGCCGTATCGATTTTCCTCCTCGACGTCAAATGCCGTTGGAGAAGACGTGAACACCAACTTTTCCCATAGCACTGCGTTCAATGTTTTTCCGAGGCCTTGATCACTTGTCTTGTGTAAGCGACGTGTCGCACATCAGGACTGGGTGCTAGGGCGGTCAACGATGCCGCGACGACGACCGAAGCCGACACCATATCCCGGCGTGGCCCGACTCTTTTGAACGGTCGACTGTTTCTCGCGAGCCCAATGTGCTGGAAATCATCTGAAGAGCCATGTCTAATTCATCGTCGTTCGTGTCCACATCACCCGGGACGTCCGCTTGTCATGGCTTCAGCGACAACACCAGTCTAGGGATGTCGCCCCCTCAGTCCTCGCCGCCGACGCCCTGGCGCGGCTTCAGTCCCCGCGCCAAGGGCTACAATCCGGACGCATCCATTGCTCTGGTAGGAATTCGTGGGACTGGGAGATCGACTTTGGCAGTCATGGCATCCGGCGCGCTCGGATTCCGTCTCCTCGACGCAGACCAGCATTTCTTCCAGGTGACAGGTCTTTCGCGGGCGGCTTACAAGGCGGAACACGGTGCCGTGGAATATCGACGTGAGGAATTGAGATTGATGAGGGCAATGCTATTCGATAACCCAACAAGAGCCGTCATTGCATGCGGGCCTGGAGCCGTGGAGGGTACAGGTCAGACCTGGCTATCCGAGTACGCCCAGACTCATCCAGTCATCTACGTCCTACGAGACGCCGAGGAAATCAAAAGACATCTGCGGGTTTGGGATACAGAAGCCATCAGCCGCTTGATATACTTGAGCGGACCAACACATAGGTCGCTTTCCAATTTCGAGTTCTACAATATCTCGGACAGCTACGGCCAGGTAGCTGATCATGTTTCTGGATCCGGCCAGCAGTCTCCAAGGTCTTTAGCCCTCAAGCGGGTAGAGCACGACTTCCTTGAACTGCTGTTCCGCATCACCAACCGCGACCATCACGAATCAGGATTGTACCACGTCAGCCATGGCACGCCATCGTTAGCTCCAGAACACAGACCTTTCACCTACTCCCTGACTTTGCCGATGATGGATCTAGACAACGCTGGACCATTGCTCCGAGATATCAACACGACAGCTGATGTTGCAGAGTTGGTGATATCACTACGAGAGATGCGGGCCAGGTCACCCAACTTCGATGAGCCGGTGGCCAATTTCATCAGCCGGCAGTACTACGCCGTCAAGCGATACACGCGTCTTCCTGTCATATTCAACGTTCAGTTCGACGACTCCTGTCCGCGGCAAGACTTGGTCTACTATCTTCGCCTCATCGATCACGGCCTCCGACTCGCACCAGAGTATCTTTGCGTTGACTTGAGCTGTGGCGAGCAAATTCTCAAAAGCATAATTGCGGCCAGAGGAACGGCGAAGATCATCGGACAATATACCGATAACACGGTCTTGGAACACGGTTGGGACAACCCAGCACTTACAGCCCACGCACAACTTGCGGAACGCTTGGGTTGCGATATCGTACGGATATGCCGAGAAGCTGAGTCGACAACAGACAACTTTGCGGCCAAGTACTTCATTCAGAGCAAATCAGCAGACTTTAAGATTCCGCTCATCGCCTATAATACCGGCCGCCTGGGGCGAATGTCCTGTTACTTGAATCAGGTATTCTCACCAGTAACCGACCCTCTGCTGAGGTCCATCACCTCATCACCTTTGAACGATACCCTCCTCACCATTCAGGAAGCACAAAAGGCTCTGTATTCTTCTTTCCTCCTGGACCCCATGTACTTTGGTATCTATGGCATCAACGTGCTGCAGAGTCTATCGCCGGCAATGCATAACGCTGCATTCGAATCATGCGGAATGCCTCACGAATACAAAATCTTTCAGCACCCTACAGTTAACCACCTGAGACACCTGATATCGGACGAGAACTTTGGAGGAGCCAGTATCACTGCCCCGTTTAAGAAGGAGGTATTTGCACTGGTAGACCTGACAAGCCCAGAGGCGCAGGCCATTGGTGCCGTCAACACGTTGATACCTCTCCGGTCAGCAAGCATCGACTCTCTGATCGACCGAAACAGAACAGGCCCCGTTGCGGCTCTTTATGGAGACAATACCGATTGGATTGGCATTCATACATGCATACGCCAGAATCTCTCCCCCATCAATGGTGTGAAGAGGCGAACGACAGCTCTCGTGGTTGGGGCAGGCGGTATGGCACGGGCTGCGATGTACGCTCTGCTTCGTCTAGGGGTCCGGAACATATTCATACACAACAGAACGCTCAAGCATGCTGAGGAGATGCTAAGGCACTTCCAAGGATATTGCTCAAAAAATGGGAGAGGAAGTCAATCGCGGTCGTCATCCCGAAGCTCGGCGAACAGCGCGGAAGGCACACCTGACAGCACCACCGATATTCCAGCCATGACTTTGCTATCGTCCAAGTCAGATCCTTGGCCAGAGAACTTTGACCGACCTACTATTATCGTTTCCTGCATCTCGACGTTTGCGAAAGACGGCCAACCATCTGCAGACACTAGTCTTCCCGCGGACTGGCTAGCTAGTCCGACGGGAGGTGTTGCCATTGAGGTGAGCATATGCTACAAGTTTCATGATTGACCAACTTCTGACATCGTGTGCAGCTGTCGTACATGCCATTGGAACCCCCATTACTCAAGCAGGTTCGGGAAATGAGCGACCAAGGCTGGATCGCTGTTGACGGACTGAAGGTTCTCCCGGAACAGGGAATCAAACAGTTCGAGCTCTTCACTGCTCGGAAAGCACCTGGGAACATCATGAGAGACGAAATTTTGAAAGCATATAAAGTAAGAGGCGGTAATGGAGCTGAGTGAGCACTGTACATAGCGCGGGAAACTAGACGATTAAGATACCAATATCAATGCATGAATGAGACGATGAATTCCATACAGATGATGTCGTCTATTGGAGGCTGTACTGTCATCGAGCCGCCAGTGAAGGTCTGGCGTCATGGAATGAGCGGAATCCTTGCGAGATGCTTATAATTGATTCTTGAGTTCCACGATCCAGATCCATCAGGATTTCTTTGGAATACAATAAAAAAAAAGTCTTCACTGATGTCAAATCATCCGTCACCTGAGTTGATGTCATGCGGAAATGGCGGAAGATGTCTCTTCCGTTGTAGCAAGTAAGACTTCCCCCGTCAAGGGTCTCGGCGGATGATAGTATGATTTGGCTTGCGGCCATCTCCATCCAGGAATCTAACTCGTCCTCGTTCAGCTTCCACCATATGATTTGAGAGCTTACTGTACAGTTTTGAACAAGCGCTAACGATATCTTACTGGTCAATCTCCGGAAACAACCTACTGAATTCGCTCGATTTTTTGTCGGCAGTCTCTCTTGCCTATCATGACCGCAAATGTCTCCTCCCGGGAGGGACCAACGATGAACTTTTTCATATTCGGGCACAACATCTCCCATACTCTGTCTCCAACGCTGCACAACACTGGCTTCAGGGAGCTCGGCCTACCTCATCACTACCAGATCCACCAGACAGTGAGCGTGGATGATACTGTCAAAGAAATCATCCACCGAGATGACTTCGGCGGCGCCTCCGTCACATTCCCCCACAAGCTTCAGATTGGCAGACTACTAGACTCGGTCACCGACTTCGCCGACAAGATCGGGGCCGTGAACACCGTTGTCGTCGACACTGACCCGACATCCGGGAAGCGGCGATTGGTCGGCGATAATACGGACTGGCATGGCATCAAGAGATGTATAGCGAAGAGCGAACTTCAGGATTTGCAGTCGTCCGCTGCTTTGGTGCTGGGCGCTGGCGGAGCAGCTCGTGCTGCCTGCTTTGCCATCCAAGAGCTTGGGATTTCGGAAGTTCTCATCGTCAACCGCACAGCATCGAAGGCATATGATATGGCGATCAATTTCCCAGGAATCAAGGAAGCTCATGTGTTTGAGACTTTGGAAGAGGCTGTCGCGGACAGACAAAGACGCGGTGCTTCTGCCAAGCCGCTTCGAGTTGGAGTCGCCTGTGTCCCGGCCGATGACTTGGGGTCGGAGAAAGTCCCCGCGGCGCTGTTCTCTGGGGCTGACTCGGGGGTTCTTGTGGAGATGGCCTACCGACCTCAGGTGACAGGAATGATGTTCGTGGCCTCGCTACATGAAGGCTGGAGGGTATTCAGAGGTGTTGATGTCTTGGAGGAGCAAGCCTACGCGCAGTTCGAGTTGTGGACGGGGAGAAAGGCACCTGTGGAGGCGATGAGGGCGGCTATGCAAGCAAAGATTAAAGAAAATGAGCAATCTGCTTCCTCCAAGTAGACGTAGACAGTACATACACAATTTGGGCGCAGTTATAGAACTAGAGTTTTGCGACTTGGGCGCATAATCAATACAGTCGAGTGCATATGATTGAGAGACAGGAGACGATGGCAGAAACCATAATTACACGCAAAATAATGAACACGTAGATAATTTCGGATAGCGAAGTCCCAGAAAGACTAGAACAAGCGAATTAGTCAGGTGTCACTGTGTATTCTACCCAAGAGACCCATTTCGATGATCCCAAGACAGGCCCATTGCTCTATCTGTGCACCAAGCGATCTGGGATGAAGTTTCATAATTCTATCTTAAATATCAATGGCCTTTCCATCAACCCAGTCCTTTGCCTGCCAGTACAGCAGGTCATGTTTTTCGAGATTCCGAGTGCCAACATGCCGACGATGGCCAGGTAAGTCCAGCAATACCTCAACACCCATCGTAAGCTCTTGGAAATACGCAAGATACTTGTATCCAGGAGGATATTTCGATAGCTTCTCCTCGTCTATCTTGGGGAACTTCGCCGGGTTCGTCGGTATCACCTTGTCCTTCTCGTACCAATGCCTCACAAGCCGCGCACCCCATCGGTCGCCCACCTTCTCAAAGAAGAAGCAGAAGCGACAGTCTGCCTCGACATCAAACTCCGTACCGTCAAAGTCGAAACGCTGCGTGATAGTCGCTTTGAGTTTGGTGACAGCACGGGTGGCCTCTGGGTTGATGTCTGTGCTGCAGCCGTGGCACCGGTGCATGATGAATGCCCCTTTATCCATTCCTGCCTTCGACGCCGCAATAAAGTCTGTGAAGGGAACTCGGCCGGACCAGGTCGTGTAGACGTATGCGCCCGGATGAAAAATCGACTCGAAATTTTCCCATTCGCAAGCATCTCTGTGGGGGAATTATAGGTTAGAACAACAATTGGCCAAGTTCGGTCATACAGCTTCATACCTGTAAGATGGCCAACCCTCAGCAAGCTCTCTCAGTTTTAGCCTCTCCAAAACAAGGTGGTCTGGGCCATTGTTGCGAATAGCATTCTGAGGGCGTGAGCCGGCTGGGAGGCTATGCAGATCGGTCATTTTGAAAATGATGTCAGGCTTGCGAGTTGAATAGTTTTCGAGGTATACAAGAACCAATGCCACTCAAAATATTTTCTGGAGGACGCAGGTAGCTTCAAATGTTAGCCTAGCATTGCAACAAGCAATGTCAATAGTGCTTCGCTCCTCGGCAGCATCGGATGAAGCCTTTGCCGCTCAGTGCTCCCGCGCTGCTTCCCCGCGTCCCCGCGTGAGGGGTAGATTGGGAAGCGCTGCCTGTCTTTCACGTCAGGTTAGTATATTTTTGCAGCCATGATACCGGTGGAAAGATCTCACCATAATGAGTAAACCACTTCGTTGGGCATGTGTTGCGGCAGCTTGGCCGTGGTCGTTGTTGTTGGGCCAGCTCGGTCTTGGCTCGGATGCCGGAGCCGAAGATCGGCGCCCTGACGTGAAAGCAGGCAGTGCCGGCATACTTGTTGCGCTTGCATCCCTATCTTTTGAGCTTCTGATTTCTCCCTGCATAAGTGGTAGCTTTGTCCAATTTCTATTCATTCACCTTGCACCGGTTCCAATAGGTGGATGCGGTTCATGCAGGAGAGATCTCGAAGTGCCGACTCTGACACCAATCTGATAATGCCAGCGTACTCGGTGATTATGCTGTTGGCGACAGAACTGGAGGTCGAAATGAACAGGAACCATGACATGCGGCTATACTTGTGCTGTTCGTGGGCCTGGCTTATTCACATATGCTGGATAGATGACTCTGGAGCAGTCGCAGAATAGCGACTGTTCATAACGCCTGTGGCGTCTAGTCTCGGCTTGTCCCAGTCATTCCATCCCATCTTCGCTGAGAAAGTCGCCGACACAGGTGTTCCCAACGCGGAGTATGCGGACATAATTTGGCGTCAAGTGGAGATTGCTGACACTATCGGCCTATTTCTCCGTCAAGCGAAACCCCCTGCTAATAGCACGTAGCACGCTTTCGACGAATCACTGACCCGCGTAGAAATGCTTATTTAAATCAGTCAGGTGTAGCCGTGATTACATATCTCAAAATAGGCCAACGTAAGCGACGACTCGTTAGACTGCTCAGCACAGACGGCGGAGGAGGGCGGCAAAGATCTTAGCCGCCCACACACGTTTATTGAGATACACGCAATATCTACACATTCATGCCAAAAAGGTCCATCATGCGCAGTTCAGGGTATAGTGTAGCAGGGCCTGCCTCCCATAGCGAAACCGAGGCTCTAATCAGGGCTTGATTTGAGTAAGGGACTATCTCTGATCGAGAGCTGGTTCGTCCAATGAAACTTTGCATCCTAAAACCCAGTCTTTCTGGCAGTCTCCTCGATAAACGGTACCCCCTTTAATGCAATTGAGTCCGATTCAGGTCAAGTGGACCTTAGACACTAGCAGCCTCCCCGTCTTGCATCTTCCTGCCCATGGCAACATGCCCGTCGTCCCCATTATGACGATTTGGTGCTCTTCCGCCTTTCGATGGACTTGATCACAAATTTTGATGTCAGCTTCGTAGCTGCGCACAGCATGTCACAATGAGTCCTCTCCGCCGGCACCGGACTTCCGCAGGTGACGATGATCATGAGCGACCTACCAGCACTCGAAAGACGAAACGAGCCAGGACCGATGGTGAAGAGTCCGACGATGTGACAGCCCATGGCAAAACTCGGATGCGAGTCACACGAGCATGCAACGAGTGTCGAAAACGAAAAGATCGTTGCGATGGTGGCCGTCCAGAATGCCGACCATGTCTAGACGCAGGGCGTTCTTGCAGCTATAACCCACCGAAGAAACGTGGCCTACGAACAGGCTATGTCCGAGCCCTAGAAATCCTCTTGGGCATGATTTTCAGCTCGATAGACGAGTCTGATTCCTGGATTTCTGCACTGCTCGATGGCCAAGGCTGGAAGCCGCCCTTCCGTCTGGCAGCCATCGGGCCCACCTTGGCTGATGATGGAGACGCCTGCGAGGGATTCGTCGATGCCTGGAGAAAGACAGAAGCGCTAAAACATATCGAACAGTGGCTTTCTGTTGCGGAACCGTTAGAAAACGACAATGAGGGCAACTCTGACAAATCCTTTGACTCCCGAGTCAAGGAAGCCATCCCTCTCATAACAAAGATTCGAGGCGAACAGGACAGCCAAAACAGCACGACTACTGACATGGCAAGTCCTATGAACACGAGCACTACCTCCCCAGCGCGTAACCCTAGCCAGGATACCGGGACAATTCCCAGCACATCTGACTCCATTGCGCAAGACGCCGAGAACAACATCGATTCAATTCTGATGGCCACTCAAGTCTTCTCGCCCTTGCAAGATACGACAATGCGACAGGAATCTTTGTCTCGGCCCCAGTCTGGACGCTCGGAGCTCCCCGACAACTGGTCCATCTTATTGGATACCTATTTCTCAAACACGCACTCCTGGCTACCGATCTTCCAAAAGCACGAAATACTTAGGCTAGCGTACGTGCTGGAGAGTTGCGATAATCGTTCGAGGACAGCCGACTCAATGTCGCACGGAGACCGGTGCTCACTGTGGGCGGTACTGGCATACTCTTCACACCTTTCCAAGACCGAGGAGCACAGCACAAATGCGGTCGCCCTACACGCTAGGACGAGGCATCTTCTCGGCGAAAAGTTGGAGAAATACGAGTTGGGCCACATCAGAGCTCATATGATTCTTGCATTATTGCACCTGAGTCGCGGCGACAAAACGGCCACATGGCTTGCCGCTGGAAAAGCAACGTATGCCGCCGCGGCCCTTCTCCTAGCCCCCGATACGACGAATACATCGCAAGGCCAACTTGACGAAGGCTCCAAGAGGACTTTGGCATGCTGCTTTGTATTAGAAACTATGGTTGCTAGTTGGTTAGGTACGCGACCGTACTTCAAGCGTTCCGACCTCGCCAAAGTTGGCACGCTAGCGACAGACTCTATGGAAGAGTGGGAACCGTGGCAGATGAGGGACGGACAGGGCCGCACATTCCACTCGCACCACAGCCCGGGACATATAATCAGCACCTTCAACCATCTTGTTCAACTAGCCGTATTTCTGAACGACCTTCTAAGACTGCGCAATCAAGATGGTGAGAATGAGCGAATCCGCAAGCTGGACCGGGCTCTGAAAAGTTGGAGTCAGCAGAACAACCCTCAATGTCAAACATCTTCCGGGGCCGAGGCTTCGCCACAGATGTTCAATTTGCAGCTCATGTTTGCTGGCATCTTCGAGGCCGCGAGAACGGAACACCTACGACTAGCAGGAGACCGTCCTAGCTTTGACATTAATGGCAGCTACGGACGGATGGAAGAGCAACGCATGCTGCTGGAACAACGAATGAAGTCTATGGGAACTTCTTCTACACCCCCAACCGTTGTCATTCTTCTTTGCTGGTTTGAGAGATCGGTGGATGCTCAAGTCAGGGTTCAGAATCACGCCAGGATGAGAATGCAACTCCAGGCGTTGCGGGTGTCCATCTCCACGACAATCGAAAGCTACCTTCAGACCCAAACGCCCCTGAAAGATACTCATGAAAGCGCATCGAATCTTCTTAATGCTGGCAGCATGTCCAATTCCTTCGCCCAGTCGGGTGGACAGTCGACCCAGTCGGCCTTTCATCTGGGGTTTGCAACTCCCGCTAGCTCCGGCCTATCTACCCAGTCTCGAGAATCAAACCCTTCAATCTTCCAAGGGCTGGGCGACCCATACAACCGCAACTCGGTCAGAAACACGCCAATGGGCCAGAGCAATCTCTTAACGACTCAGACTCAAGGGCTCATGTCTCAGCCGCCGTCGATAGGTCCAGATATGAATATCGATCCTCTCTTAGATGCAGTTTCGGCGGAAATGGACGACAATGAGCTTTTCCAAAGCTTAGCTAGCTTGGACTCGGCAGATTGGTCAGTACGTCCTGCCAAGATTATCTTCCGTCTTATCCCTGACAAGTCCGTAGGTCCACAAATCCTCCCGAGTTCATGGAGCATCTTGGCATCCCACGGGGCATTGCTTCAGATCTGCAATCATTCTTTGACAAGGACCCCGGGTGAGATCTTAAAGCCGCTTTTGCTATCAACAAAACTCCCCACGGGGTATTTAGCTCAAGCGCTCTCCAATCGACCGGCATTGAAGCCGGCCCCGCGGGATACGTCAGTGAGGGGCCGGTACAAGGCTCTGCCGCCCGGTGACATCAACCAACCTGACCTTACCCGCCCACGCCACACACAAGTCCACCCTGGTCATTGGTAACCCGAAGGTTCCAACATCGACTGAACACACACAGCACACGCATACCATCTCCAAAGATCGACATTCACCTGCTTCAACCAGAAATCCCCGCGCAGCATCACCATGGCCGAATTCCGCCCTGCCCTGCTCTCTGCCTCCCTAGGCCGTGCCTGGCTTCATGACTTCGACAAGAAGGTAGCTGAAGCCGCCAAGCATGGCTTTGAGGGCATCGAAGTATTCTATGAAGACATCGAGTACCTTGCAAAGAAGCTCCACGATACCGACGAGCCGACCACCGATCACCTCCTCGCCGCCACAACCCACATCCGCAAGGTCCTCGATGACCTGAAGCTGACCGTTATCGGCCTACAGCCATTCCTCTTCTACGAAGGCCTACTAGATCGTGAACAGCACGCCCGCCTAATTGAGAAGATCAAGGTGTGGTTCAAGCTCGCTAAGACCCTCGGCACAAACACCATCCAGATCCCAGCCAACTTCCTTCCCGCGGAGAAGCTGACGGGAGACATGGGCATCATCGTCGGTGACCTCGTTGAGCTCGCGGACTTGGGGTTAAAGGAAGACCCGCCGATTCGATTCGCATACGAGAGTCTCTGCTGGAGCACTCACATTGATACATGGGAAAAGTCTTGGGAGGTTGCCTGTAAAGTCGACCGGCCGAACTTTGGTCTGTGCCTCGACACGTTCAACATCGCTGGCCGCGTGTGGGGAGACCCAGCGTCTCCAACGGGCAAGACCCCCAATGCGGATGCCGATCTCAAAGAGTCGATGGAGAGATTAGTGCGGGATGTCGATTTGGCGAAAGTGTTCTACATCCAGGTTGTCGATGCTGAGCGTATGGAGTCTCCCTTAGTCAAAGGTCACCCATTCCACGTTGATGGGAACCCGGCGCGGATGAACTGGTCTCGGAATGCTAGAGCGTATATCTATGAGACAGATAGAGGGGCTTACCTACCGGTGGAAGACGTGGCTCGGGTGCTGATTGAGAAACTTGGATACAAAGGATGGGTTTCGATGGAGCTGTTCTCAAGGACCATGTCAGAAGAGGGTGAAGGGGTACCGGCAGATCACGCTCGTAGAGGTATCGAGGCATGGAAAAAGTTTGTTCAGCGATTGCAGTTGATCAAATGAATACAAAAGTAGCAAATAATTGCACCAATTCCCTCCTCTGATACGTCACCAAAGACAAAGACGAGGAAGACGACAATGAAGATAGCGAGCACATAGGAAAAGCAGTCGCTACTATAGGGAAAATAGGGGATCACTATGTTAGAGCCATTAGAGCTTTCATTGGTGATGCCGCTGCATATCGAAGAATCAGCCACCAGCCAGCTTCCTTTCTTCACTATCTCTTGTGCTGTAAATTTAGGAGCAAATCAATACGATGAGGTCCAATGAACTGCCCCAAAATGCGATCAATTTAGACTAAAAGTTGATCCCCGGGCTTTTATCGGCAGCCTCCAAGAGAACTTTCCAAGCACCCTCCCCATCCAACTTCTTTACCCTCTCCTCTCCAGCCCAAAGTTTCCATTGCTCCTCAATCTGGTACCCAATTACGTGAGTACCCTCTACACAAGGCCATCCAAGAGACTCCGCCAACTTGATCGTCCGCGTTCTCCTTGGCTTGAAGCACATGTCCAGCAAAACACCCTTCTCGGGTCTTGAGAGGAAGTCTTCCAGGGAGTCCCTCACCGCAAGCTCAGAAGTAGACTTGGGCTCAAAATCCGGCACCGTTCCGACAACGTAGTACGGCGTCTCGAGCTTCTTCGACTCTCCCGCCTTGACATGAAATATCCGCGGCGCTGGTGACAGACGCTGCGAGTCGCGTATCAGATCGCTGACCTCTCCATCATCCCTGTTCAAGACGTAGATGACAGAGGCCTTGAAGTACGTGTGCAGAGCAAAAACGGCCGCGCGACTCGCGCCACCCGCACCGATGATCAGCGCAGGCTTGTTCAGGACTGGTCCCGGCTGGGCTCCCTTTTCAAGCAAACACCCTTTGACTCCGAGCCAGTCTGTGTTCGTACCACGCAGCTTCCGTGCATCCGTAGGGTCGCGGTACATATTGTTGCAGGCACCAATGGTCTCGGCTAGGGTGTCAAGCCCATCAAGCCGGGGCATGATGGTGTTTTTGTAGGGCATCGTGACAACCAGACCTGCCGTGGACTCTTCCCGAGCCAGGTCGAAAAGATCATCAATTGTCGCACATTCGGTCGCGAAAAACGTCCATGGCAAGTTTAGTGACTTGGCTATCGCATTGTGCATTGGTGGTGCGATGGAATGGCCGACGCCAATTCCAACGAGGTGGAGGGTCTTTTCTTCGGAGGTCGACACATTGAATGCCATGATGTACTCGGTTTTGATCAGAGGAAATATTCTCGAAACAATCCTTTGACTCCAGACATCAGAATGTTCCGCGTAGAGGCCTTCTGGGCCGCATCTGAAGTAGCCTCACACGGCTGTAAACTCTACGGCGGCCTGGGCCGGAGAAGATCTTTGCCGCCACCAGCCTAGGCATCCTGGCCCAGTAGTCACCACGTCAAGCACCTCATCATTCTCCCGCTTCTTTCGAAAATACACTCAGTATCATTTAGGCTGGAATTCATGTTTTCTTCCGAAACAGACGGGTCGAGGCGACCTGGCGGAATCTTTTACCGCTCAAATGACAGAGTAGCGCACCACCGGCATTGTAGTTCCAGGCCCAATTAATTCTTCTGCGATTCCTTGAAGCACTCAATTGGCTCCATAGAGTTACCTACTTCCGTCCTCCCCGCCGAGGATAGCATCCCGAGCCGGAGTAACGACAGCCCCACACCGGGCCCTTAGCGGTGGTCCGGGACCCTCTTCTCCGGCGCTGGTAGGGAAACTTGTAACTGCCTTAGGAAGGTTTCTAAATAGAGTGAAAAATGATTAACATTACATTGTACCTATCAATGATCTAGTCTATTTCATATCTCTCTTCTAATCAAAATGATAGGGTCACAACCCTTTACCCTAGCCGTCCAGTCCATCTCAGGTTGTGCCTACTTCCGCTTAACGCCCTGTCCCTTCGGCACCCTCACAAGCCAGTAAAGACCGCAGGCCACCACAATGTTGAAGCCAATATAGACCCAAAGCAGCCCAAAGTTCCTCCACCGGTCGTCGTACCTGATGTTGAAATGCGCAAGGTAATCATCCGTGGTCGCCATGCGACAATACCCGCAAGCGTCCGTCGCCGCTGCATCGACAAGGTATCCTCCAGCACTCTGCACGTACGGCCCAAGAAAATCACCACAAGTCAAATTCGAGGGAACAGGCACCTTCACAATCTCTTTCGACGTGCACACAACCTTTGACCCGTGCAGGCAGGTCGACAACGCTCCGGACGCGAGGTAGGTCATGGGACTGACGTAGTACATGAAGTCACTCCAAATGGCTGGCAGGTCGGCGCGTATGACGCTGATGCCGCAGAAGGACATGCATAGGATGGCGAGGAAGCTTGCCGGTATGCTGGCGAGGTCGGCAGTCTCAATAGCCACGATGGCGAGCTGCGAGAAGGTGCTCGTCCAGAGGAAGAACATCCAGATGAAGAGGAAGACGGTGAAACCGCGTATGCTCACATCGTCGGGAGTGGTGTTCCGGAAGAACCGCGCCGGGTAGTACCAGCAGAAGAAGAATACGACGGCTGCTATGGTGTTCCAGACCATCTCGATGACGACGTTGGAGAGAAGGTATGCTGGATCTATATTAATATGATGATTCAAAGCATGAGAGGGTTGGGCTCACTGGTCCACCGATAGACTCGAGACGGTCTCTCACGGACTTCGTAAAGCGCTCGTTGGGGGATGAACATGGGCATCACCTGCTTGCTGAACTCGTTGACGGTTGTCAAGCACATGAAGAAGGCGTAAAGCTGGTTCTGCAAGCCTTGGAGACTGTTGTCTGACTTGAAGGTGAAGCCGATGTACAGAGCCAGCAGGATGGTGAGAGTGAGCTTCGACCAGATATAGACAGGCGACCGCCAGAAGTGCTTGGCTGTACGGGAGAAGACTTGGACGAACTGCGTCCAGAACGAGGTGACAAACTCGTGCTCTGAGGACGGGTCACCCTGGCTGGTTTGACCTTCTGCCAGCTGGCGGAGGAGACGAAGTTCCTCCTTGACATCTTGATACTCGGCAGAAGAACGCCAGATTTCAAACCAGTTTGGTCCGTCCTCGGAAAGAGTCGTAACCTTGAGCATCCATTCCGCGGGGTTGGCATCAGGAGGACACGGCGGCGCGCCGTTGCGTTCGAGGTATTCAATCATAGTCCTGGCATTGGTGCCAATTTCTGCGTCACTGTCAGCTTATCTTCTTCTATCAACCGGGTGACTAACCTCCAAAGTAAACCGTTTTGCCGCCGCGCTGAAGCAATAGTAACCTGTCGAAGCGGGAGAACAGCATCGCCGACGGTTGGTGTATCGTGCAGAGGACCGCTTGTCCGCTCTTGGCAAGCTTCTCAATCAAATCGCAGATGGCCCAAGATGTTTGTGAATCAAGGCCTGATGTGGGCTCGTCCAGAAATACGAGTAGCTGTGGGCGTGCAGCAAGCTCAACCCCGATAGTCAAACGTTTACGTTGCTCAACGTTGAGACCTTGTCCAGGGACGCCGATCACTGCGTCGACGAAGTCGCCCATGTCAAGCAGGTCAATTACTTCGTCGATATAGGCTAGCTTTGCAGACGTCGGGATCTCCGCGCTCTGCCTGAGTAACGCACTGAACTCCAGCGCCTCGCGAACCGTCATGGTGTCCATATGCACATCCTGCTGCTGCACATAGCCGACACGGTGGGGGAAAGATTTGTCGGTAGGCTGACCGTTGACCATGGTATCGCCGGACAGAACGCCCATCGTCACACGGGTTGCCAAGGCATCTAGCAAGGTCGTCTTCCCTGCACCGGATGCCCCCTATGCCAACGTTAGCATGTCGTCCAGCGTTGGAAGGCAATTGCGCAGGACTCACCATGAGAGCTGTGATGACGCCTGGTTGCACAAAACCGTCAACGTGGTCTAGGATGCGGCGGTCCTGGCCCTTGATCTTGACATCGTAGCAGATATCCTCCCAGTGGAAAATGGGCTTTCCGCCAGCACTTGGTCGTGGTCGGTGCTCGGTTCCTTGCTTCTCTGGACGAGAAAGATGCTCCATCTCGATGACTGTGGTCTCCTTGCGTTGGCTCTCCTCGTCCATGTGGGCCTTGTCGTCAACGCCAGCAGGGGCCTTGCCGCGTCGAAAGACGAGAACCTCTCCTTCGCTCTTGGGTGGCTTGGCGTACTCAGCAGTGATGATGTAGGTGATGAAGAAGAACACAATATAGCCGCACAGAATACCGACGTTCCTGGCGAAGTTGTTAGTTGATAATCGTTAGGGGTGGACGATGTACGCGCCTCCACTTGTGACTGTTGAAGTAGCCGAAAGACTCTTCAATGTATCGGTCGCCATCGATCGCATCTGAGCCAGGAACAGCTCCGACTACAGAGCAGGTTCGTCCGCTGAGGCGCAACTGATCGTAGTCGGGCCCAGATGGCACGAGATTATCGCACTTGAAGGTGCGCCCGTGGAACTCATTCGCCATCAAGGCCTCGAAAGCATAGGACAGGGGGTTGATGTATCCCATCCATCGACTCCAACCTTGCATGTACGAGGTTGGCACGGTGAACCCAGCGTACATCATGACTCCGAGGGTGACAAGTGTGACAGGCACCATAGCCTGGTGTGACGTTCTCGCGAGCGATGCCATGGTTCTGTAAATACCGGACATGGCGAGTAAGACTGCAAACGAGACCAAGCAGAAGAAAAAGAAGGGCCCAGGCTCGCGATTCAAGTTGGCCATGAAATAGAGAATCGAGTTGAAAGTGAGGACATTGGTGATTTTGTAGGGAAGCTCTATAATGTAGCTGGAGATAGCCTCGGCGGATTGGTGATAAAGAGCGTAGCGGTTGTGCTTCTCGACGACGGGTCTTTGTGCATAAAGGGTAAGAACCTTAGCGCTTGTCAGTTCCCTCGGGAATTCCATTGGTGTTTGGGACAAATCAACTCACTTCCATCTCGCTGACGAAAGCATTGAATAATAGCGCGAAGAAAATGATGCCTCCTCGATAGTAGAATGTGCTCGAGTCAGTCTTGAGGTTGAAGAACATGCTTCCCAGCACGAACCCCACGATAATGTTGTACACAAGCGACGAAATCGTAAACCCGGGATCGGCAACCAAACGCTTCCAGCCCCGCCAAAGACAGAGCCTCACTTGGCGAGGGTACGTGATCATGTACGGAGACTTCATTCGTTGCATGGGACTTCTTTCGGCTTTGATGCTCTGCTGAAACTCTTCAAGTCGGTCTTTGGCCGGGTGGGTCTTTTCGTAAGCTTCAATGGCAGTCATGAGAGCTGCTCGGTCCGGCGATGCTTTCCATCTGGCTGCAAATTCGTCCGGAGTTCGAGGCGTCATGTTCTCATACCCGGGTCTGATGCGTCGCTCACTTGGAGATGTCATGGAGGTGAGGAAGTCGGGGGTGGTTTGCCTCTCGGGGCCTATAGTTGCTCAGTTAGTTCGATGGATTTGGGAAGTTGAACGGATCATGTAGGCTTACACATAAATCCCATGTCTTCGAAATACGATTTCGCTCGTTCAATCCTTCCAAAGTAAATCTGGCGGCCTTCGTAAAGAGCCGTCACTTTGTCGAACAACTGCATTTTATCAGCACAATGACCCGAGATTGATATGGCAGGCTTCGGGCTTACATCATAAGCAGACTGCGGCGCCTGATAAATGGCCACCACGGCTGCCACATTCAACAAGTCTGCTTGCGTCCGGAGATTCTGACAAAAGGCAATAGCATTGCCGCTATCGAGGCCGCGAGTGCTGTTGTCCCAACACTGGAATTTGGCACCTGTCAGAGCAGCCTCGACGATACACTCCGTTGCGTTGACAGCGTCCACCCCGCAGTTTTTAGCCCGAAAAAGGCAAAAAAAGGGGCTTTTTACCGAAAAACCACCAAATCGCCCTAAACTTCACGTTTTAATACCTCTATGCGTACGTAATGCGCGTAAATAAAAAATATATCAATCGATAGCCCTCGATTAGGTGATTATAATGATATCTTTTTTATTCTCGCGCATTACGTACGCATAGAGTTATCTAAGTGTGAAGTTAAGGCTAATTTTGAGGGGTTTTTTAAGCGGACAGTTCAACGCAACGCGCCGGGGGTTTCGTTTTTTCTTTTTAGCGTTGCGTTAAGTATCCGCTAACCTAGAAACCCCCTTAAAACCCCCTAAACTTCACACTTAGATAACTCTATGCGTATATAATGCGCGAGAATAAAAAAGATATCATTATAATCACCTAATCGAGGGCTATCGATTGATATATTTTTTATTTACGCGCATTGCGTACGCATAGAGTTATTAAAACGTGAAGTTTAGGGGGTTTTAAGGGGTTTCTAAGCTAGCGGAAAATTTTCCTTCCGGGTCAAACTTGGGGGCGGACGCTGTCAACGCAACGGAGTGTACTGACTCGCTTCCGCTCGCCTCCCGAAACCCCACGCACGAAATCATCGCCGACCTTCGTGTTGATCGTGTGTGAAATACCAAAGGCAGCCATGAGTACATCCCGCATGATGCGAGCATACTGCTTGCTCGTGAGACTGGCTGGGACATTCGTTGGAACTCGGGCTCTTGAGGCAAATTCCAGAGTGTCGCCAACTGTGAGAGGGGCCAGGTGCACGTCAACCTCGGCATTATATAGTACGTCGCCGCGGAACCAGTCGTGCATGTACCTGGGATTGATGCCTACACGATGTTAGTTGATGCCTTACATCGATTAGTCCCGACTTACCTCGAAAGTTCATGTATGAATCTGTTGAAACATTGAGTCCTTCAGTCTGACCAGCAAGTGTCTTGAGCAATGTCGAGCAGCCCGATCCAGGTGGGCCAAGGGCAAGAAGCATCTCACCAGGCTCGACAAGGCCCTCGAAGTCTTGCAAAATGTCGATCCTTCCCTTCGTTCTACCAGTCGCAAGCCCAACAAGATTTGTTGCTATACTCAGCGCGATGTTGCCTGTGCGTTTTTGGTATTGGGTACCGGTGCTGTATCCGAAGACGTTGAGGTTCTTGAAGGCAACCCCCGTCAATCTGCTTGGTGTTGACGCAGGGTCTGACTCGTACAGGCTTATGAAGGCTCTCGTCCACGCTGCAGAGTCAAAATTAGGGGATGACGGGTCCAGATGGCTGTTTATTGGCGGGTTGAGAACGTCATCTTGAGCATGGAGACTTTGTGGTCTGGAGGTAGCTGTGACTTGGCGTGCAAGATTCTCAATCTGTCTGTGCATGTCGTCGGTGATTGTTATTTCTGAGAGGTCAGACGCCCTGGCGTTTGAGACCTGAAAGTGATCGACCTCCTCTGATGGATGCATGGTTGCCCCCACTGATGAAGAGTTGACGTGGGGGTTCGTTCGAGGTTAGGAGTGTATGTGTTGCAGTTGCGGGAGTAAGGTTTACAAAGTGAAAGCAAACGTAACTTGGTCAGTTGAGTTGGTCTAAACGTCAGTTGGATTGATTCAATGCTGCCATCTGATTTCATGAAACCATAAACACTTATACCAACCGTTCTGAACATGGGACCGATCCTGCCATCTCGGCCGTCCGCGGTGACCGGCATTGAGAGCATCGCTCACGGGCCAAGACCCCGACAATGGCAGAAGCTCAACGAGTGTGTAAAGCCACACAGGCATCAAGTTCCCATAGGACTTCAACCCTGGAGCCTTCAACCTTTTTCAGCCCCTTTGGCCACGTGGTGTCATAAAAGAGAGCGGACCGGCCCCACGCGGTTCGGACGGCCGCGGATGGCCGATGGACAAGCGGTTCATCCAACTTGTGGGTCCACGCAGAATCAACGCCACGAAAGGCGGACCAACAACGGGAGAAGTTCTAGACTCGCGTCTCTGCGTATCGTGTACAAGCATTCAGCTAGTCTTGTCTATGTTTCCTTGTGCGAGGAAATTCTTCGGAAATCCATCCCTCCGAAGTTGCGGTTGTGTTTCTGTCACTTGGTCATTCCGTCTCCGTTGGCGCTATTGATGCTCCCACACAACGGGTGCTTGGAATAACTCAAGAGCAGTCTCCTCCGTAAGGATTCCAAGTGGGGTCCGCCCGGGGTCATCGAGAAGCCAGTCTTCCGAATTTGGATACTTAGCCGCCAGGGTTGTGTCTCGCCCGAGTGGCCTCTTGTTTCCTTCTTTTTCGCAGCAGCTTTGCAGACCCATCCCCGTTCAAAATGCCAACCGTCATTCGGCCGCATCCCGAAATTGTCGGTAAATGTACATACACGCCATCTCCTAATCGAGGCTTCTTCAAGGAGATTTCGGCCGAGGATCAATCTCGGGAATCGGTCCAAACGTCCATGTCCGATGCAGATGACGGCACTATTGTAGCCTGCGAAAACGGTTTCGTTTACTCAGTGCTCCGTGCCTGGCAGCAGCACCTACACCTCAAGCTGCGGCCCGATGATGTCTGGCTAGCCGTGCTCGTCCAATTCAGCTTCTTCATTAATGGACCTGGGGTGTGATCTTCTCCCCAGTACTGGGCTCTAGTACGAGGCACCTCTAGTATAGGGTTATTCTCTAATATAACAGAAGCCTGGAAAAACCTCATTTTTATACGCTTAACTTTTCTAAGTATTAATTTATTATTAGTAGTAAGGGGACCTTAGTATAACACTTTAATAGTAGAGTTATATAAAAAATAACTATATACCCTTTTCTCTAGTATATAGTACTTAAGTTTTCTACTATTTAAGGCTTTTCTATTATATAAAAAGCTTAGTTTATAGAGAGAGTACTTTTTAACCCTCTCTATAAGCTAGATTTTAGTATATAGTATAGCTAAAAGTAGTTAGACCTTTTTAATAGTAGAATTAATACCTCTATTATACTTTTTAATAATAATAAAGCTATAAATAAAGCTATAGATATAGTAATTTAGAGTATTTATATTACTTTAATTTAATAAAAGTAGTTATTAGCTAATTATTAAAGAACTATTAATAAAAATAGCTTTATAAAGGTATATAAATATATAAGAAGATTACTAATAAAGTTATTTTATTACTTCTTTAAGATATTCTATATAAGTAAGTAGTAGTTTAATATATTTATTTAATAACTAAATAAGTATACTAGTTTATAAGATTCTTAATATATAACTATAAAGTAAAAACTATTAATATTCCTATATATCTTAAGCTAAAGCTACTCTTAGTATATTACTACTTATATATTTAAAATTAGCTAAAATATAGTATTATAATATATTAACTTCTTACTTACTATTTATATTAAACTATATAAAGTATATATTTAACTTATAATAGAAAGAGAGATCTTATTAGAGATTAAAAAGGACCTTAAGTAAGAGGCTTTTTTAAACTATATTAGCGCTATTAATAGTACTTTAATCTATACTTTTATATTAAAAAAAAAGTAGAAGATTTAGTGTTATTAGAAAGGCTTTATAAGCTAAAATATCTTTATAGTAGTGAGGTTTAATAGTAGCTTTTTATATATACTTACTAATATAAAGAGGTTAATCTATAACTTAAAGTTAGTAATATTTATATATAACTAAGGGTTTATAATACTAAAAAGTAGATATTTCTTTATTAATACTAGCTTTAGAAGTAGAAATAGCTTTAATATTCTATACTATAAAACTTATTACTATCTATAAGATTAGAAGGATATAAACTTACTACTAATTACTACTTAAGAGCTATATAATCTTAAGTATAGCTAGCTTTAAGTAATTATAGAGTAAGCCTTTAGTTATTATAAGAAGAAGTTCTATATTATTTAAAGTTTAACGCTAGAATATAGCTTAAAGTAATAAACTATTATAAGTTTATAGTAATAAAGATATAATTAAAGTAGCTATAATAAAAAAAGAAGTAGTAAGTAAAGTAGTAAGTTAATATTAACTTTAGTAGAGGTAGGTTAATATTAAAATATATAGCAAAAACACTCTTTTTTTTAATACTAACGCTATATAGTATATATATAAAAATTATATTAAAAAACATACCTCCTTTTACTTCTCTAATATTTAATTAATATATAATCTTTTAAGCTTATTATTACTTTCTATTTTATTCTAAAGAACTATTAGTAATATAATAGAGTTTTAAAGCTTTAATAATAGTTCTCTTATAACTACTATATATTATACTACTATTAACTCACTTTAAAAATTTATTTTAAAGTTAATAAAAACTATATTAATTATTAGTTTACTCTTTATTATTTCCTCTAACTTTATTTACTTTCTCTCCTTTATAAGTTAAATACTTTAGCTTATATAAACTTAGCTCTTAGCGTTTATAATTATTTTATTACGTTTTTATAGTCTTAATATATTAAATAAGTATAGTAGTATTTATAATATTAAACGTTAAAGTAAAGGTATATAAGAAAGTATACTTAACGTAAAGTAGCTACTCTATAGGATTAAAAATATAAATAAGCTAAATATACTATTAATAATATTATCCTCTTTATTAATAAAATTATTAACTTCCTCTTTATTACTACTCTTATTATTTTTACTACTCTTATTAATATTATCCTCTATATTAGAGTCTCTTACTTATATAAGATTATCTATAATATATATACTTTTATTAGTTCTTAAGCTTCTATTCTATATCTCTAAATAAAGCTAAAGTTAACTTAACTTTATAGTTTATATCTATAATAATTTAAAGTTATTAACTAAAAAAGCTTTTTTTTTATTATTATTATAATATATTATATTAATTATTATATTAAAAGTATTACTTAATTTTAGTACTATTTATACTTATAAAGAGAATTTCTTCTTTTTAATATAGAACTTATTATATATATAATTTAATATTATAGTATAATTAAAAATCTTTATATTATTAAAGCTTTTTATAATCTCTACTTATATTAGTTTTAATACTTATAGCTTATTAATATTTAGCTTTTTATCTTAATAAGTATATAGAAATTCCTATATAAATATTAATATTTAATAAGATAACTAATAAATCTATATACTTATACTTCTTAACTTCTTTACTTTTTTAAACTTAGTTATAAGTAGAGAGTTATTATTATTTATAGGGGATATTCCCTTTTATTTTCTTAATTATAGATTTAGTAGTTTAATTAAGAGTAGCTTAATCTCTTTAATTTCTTTATTATTAGAGTTAGAACTCTTATTAATAATAAATATAGTAATAATAATACTATCTTTAATTTTTAAACTTTTATTAGTTTACTAATTACTAATAGAAATACTTAGAGTTATTATAAGAAAGTATAACTTAATAGTTTTTTAGTATATATAATAAGCTATAATATAAATAAAAGATTATAATAAATAGTAATTTAGTAAAATATAGTAATAATAGCTTTACTTAGGAGACCTTAGTTTTAAAAGTAATAAGTATATTCTATATTAGATTTAGTTAAAATACTAACTTAGTAGTAAAAAAAGTACTTCTATTATAATTCTGAAATTATATAAGGGACGTAGGTTACTGTTAAAGTCACTTTTACCTCATACTAGAGGTGCCGCGTGCTAGTACTGGGGAGAAGATCACACCCCTGGCCGCGCTGAAGCTCTGCGCCACCACTTCGTCGCCCATGAGGGCCAACGCACCCTCGTTGTTGAAGTCGGACCCGGTCAGACTGTCGACAGCTTCGACATGGCGGCCATAACGGATCATTTTGTTGTCCTGCTCCGCGAGCATTTGGTCGACCCCAATCTAGCCGACTGGCTGTTGCCGACCTTTAGCACGACCTTACCGCGTGACCGCTCCACTGCTGCTGCTGTGTTCCTCGGGACCATGAAACAATACTTCAACTACACAGTGAGCATTACCTGTGGTTTTCCTTCTATCACACTCCTCGGTGAAGTCAACGACTGGGTCGACCTGGCAAAGCGTGTCGCCCGGCTGGCAGACTTCAATGCCGACACACTGGATCGCGATGGATCTTCTATATCTGAGTGGTCGCGCTGTCTCGTCATCGTGGTTGAGTGGTGCATCGCCAGCTTTGATCGGCCGGACGATGTTGATGTACGCGATTTCTGGACGCACGCCTGCCATTCCGGAGGCGCGGGCATGTCAGGTGGAGTCGTTCATTTGTCTGGCTGGTTGACCGTATTTTGCTGGTGGCGAGCCGACGGGGCCAGGCAGAAGGCCTACAGTGACGAGGAGCTGGCAAGAGAGTACTCATGGCAGGAAAGAGACTGGGAGAGGCTGTACTTGTCCGGGGCTGAGTTTCCGGTTGTCGATCAGGGGGAAATACCCGCCGGTCTCACAAGGGTCCCGGTTACATTCGAACTTGGAGAAAAAGAACTTGGGGAAGAAAACGAGGAAGACGAGAAAATG